TTTCGTTTGTCTTCCTTTGACAATGAGTGTGGAAAAAGTGAAGAACAATTTTCACGGCTGTTGCGCACCGGGCATTTTGTTTTGATCATAAATTGATCTACAAACTAACACTACATGGGTGATATGGTCAACATCACACTGGCCACCTTTACCTCTTGGGACATTTCCCCTTAACACATGGTCTGGTGGGAGGGTAAGGTCAAGGGGTCTAAGCTTCATTTAAGTGCATAATAATAATATATGTACAGAACTGCGAATAAATCTAATAATTAATATAATTGAAATAATATAAAATGTACGAACAAATACTTACAATAGACAACTTTTATACATGGTTTAAAAAAAAAATAAACACAAATAAAAAGTTAGTTGCGTATCCTTTACAGAATGTACACAACATTTGGTGGCTGTGTGTGATTTCATTAGGCATTTTACGTGCTTTTTTTGCCAACAAAACTAAACGGTCGGCTGTCGATATCTTTGTCAAAACCAATGCAAGGTGGTCTGCTGCCAAGTCGCCCCCCTGCTAGGATCGAACCAGGCACCTCGGAATCACCAAGCTGTTTTACAGTTTGTGATACATGCTGTTGGAAATCACAAGATGGGGAAAAGCCTGATGTCTCACGCCAGTCTGCAAATCACTTGATAAAATATATTTAGCCTAACTAGACTTATCACAGACCATAGGTCAAGCAGTAGATGAGGTTGATGTTCTCAATGCTCTCAAGGAGACAAGACGAATAGACAAATAGATGACCTAGGACTCTTTTCCACTCCTTCAGGCTTATTAGGCATATAGGGCTAGACCTACATTTTCTAGACCAATCTGCACTTGGTAGGTAATGTGGTCAGCACCATGCTGGCCACCTTTGCTTCCCAGGACTGCACCTGGTACCCACTCAAGGTTGGGTCGACCTGTGAATCAAGATACATTTTTTTTTAAATCTGGCTTTGTCAGGACCTGAACCCACTACCTTCCGATCTGCAGGCGAGTGTCTAGCCACTACACCATAGCACAGATTACTTAGAGGACTGCTGGGAATGGGCAACATAAAAAAGATTACAATAACTTCAGGTGAGAGGGGGTGTTGCCAGACATGAACACTATACAGGTAGCCAAAGAAGAATAGTAAATCAACACAGAACTGGTGTTATCACACGCCACATACTGAGGGATATAGAGAAGATAGGATCCGAGCACTTTATAAATTTGTTCGATGAGGATGAAAAATCGATTAACTAACAAACAGGCCAGATTCCTGGCAATTCCATTTATATATACACACATAAACACATCCTTGCTTACAATCCCCCTGTCTAGTTCTTTGCGCTGCTGAGAGGGATTGTAAGGAGTTGTGTTTTGATATGAGAAGAAACAAGTGATACTTTCACTCGTACATGCATGTGAGCGCCTGTTTCGAGTCTAGTAGCAGAGGCTGCTGCTACAGTTCTTTGCCTGCTCTTTAAGTTTGACAGTCTCCTTCTTTGTTATCTATCATTGTCTTTTCACCTTCATTGCATGTATCTTTATTTTCTCCAAAGTATTTTATTTGATAAAATAATATATCTACAAGATTAAGATTATCCACAAGAATAAAAGGAAGAAGAAGAAGCAGAAGAAAAGAAGAAGAAGAAGAAGAAAACAAGTTGATGATGAATAAGACGATGAAGAATGCAAAAGGATGCTACAAGAAGTCACAGCAACAGTTTTGTTTTTTGCCTGAGTTATAGCTAGTAGATAAAAGATAGGTTAGGATAAGCAGAAGTGAGAATTTAGCAGTTGACATCTGACAGATCTAACAGCAATAAACCACTAGTTATTTGCCCATTGAGCTGTGGGTCTTGAGTTTAAATCCACAGCACAGCATATTTTTAGATACTTAACTTTGCTTCTAGTCAACTGGGAGCTGCTTTAGCGCAGTCAATAGGAGGCTCGCTTTAAAATCCAGCTTCGACTTGCTGCAGCTACGTTGGTGTTCAAAACCGGGCTGTTCCCGGGGTTCACCCAGCCTCTAGGAAATAGGTACTAGAGTTGACACTTTTGGGTGAATGGAGGAACATCACTGTAGCAGCTGTCCGTACTGGTGGCAGAGTACTTATGGTATATAACCCTTCAATGATGCTGGTTCACATCTCCCGACTTTACACTTACCTTACCTTTTCTAGGTCAACGAAACCTATACCATAACAAATTCTAGACAATGAAGGCAGCTAGCATGATGTTGACAACATCACCCACTAACAGCTTATTTAGCTATAGAAACATACATATAGCACAAATTGCCCCATTGTACAGAAGAAGGTCTTGCAACTTTTACAATCAATGACTTTTAGAAGAAATTTCCTGCTGCAGGAGGAAAATGGCCCAGTTAATGTGATGTCTGTTTTGTGGAATTACAGGTGAAACATTTACTCACACAAACACACAACCTTGCACGGATGTAGACTTGAAGTAAAAATATCCTCTTTAGGAAGTTGCTGTACAAGAACACTTTTGTCTAGCGCCACTCATCATTTCAACATGTCTGATGTTTCAGGGGAAGTTAGTCCTGGCAGCAGAAAATGAGTTTGAAAGAGATAGATGGCTGGAGGTCCTGGAACAGTCCCGAATGGTGTAAGTCAACAATAGAAGTCTGTGTTTGTGTAGGAGGTTATCTGTGGCCATGTTTCGTGCACCTGACTTGCCTAGGATCCCGGATTCTTGTATGAATAGACATTGTTTATACACATCATTCCTTTAACCTTAGCTTCCTTATTTTACGTCTTTCCTGGCTTCGGAGATAGATTATGCTTTTTTTTGTAATTTTGTTTTCATTCTGTTAAAAGTCGTGTTGCTTTGATTGTTACTAAGTGTTTTCATGTACCGCCTTAACTTTGACTTTATTAATAATTTTCTTGCTGGATATGTTTATATCCTGTTTAAAAAAAAAAACTATCAGATGGAGTGTTTTTATTAGTTGACAAGAAAGCCCATAAGCCTAAAAACTGTGGATGAGCCAAATGCACAAAAAACTGTCAATTGATTGATGAGCCCTATGGTATTCTTTTGTGCAGTTTAAAATAGTTTCACTCCTTGAACTATAAAGATTTTGAATATCAAAATTATGTTCGTCTAGTAGCTATGCATTTCCTCTCTTGATTAGTGAACTTTAGTTTTATTAATATTTAAACTCTTTCTTTACCAGGTAGTTGGTGATTTCATGTACATAACCCAGTCATTGCTCAGTTCCAGCTGCACTAATGATCTGATAACATCAGGGGATTATATTCACATTTGTAATAACAGCTAGTTCAGTTTAAAAAAAAACACATCACAACACTGAAGACTTTCTAGTAAGGACTCCCTCTCTCTTTTTTCAGCAGCTGATACACTGTTTCTATAACATTGGTGCCAGTTGAAGGCATTTGGTACTAGACTCTAATTTTTTACAGACTACAAGAACATTCAACATACTAACGGAAGTTTAAATGACACACTGAAGTTACAAGAAAATTCAACATGCTGACATAGGTTTAGACACACTGAAATTACAAGAACATCAACTGTACCAGACTTCCAGTCCAAAATGGAGGACTAGGCATGACATAATGTTTAGCTTCAAAGTTGTTTTTGCTTCCGACAGCGCTTTACTAATGCAGTTGTCCACATATGGACAGAAATCTCCGGTTCTGCTGCCTGAGCTACTGAGTTTAGTGCTTTGTGCAGCCCTGTGAGGTGTGTTTTTCAGGTGAAGTGCCTTTCATTTGTGCAGCAGTTGTATCATGGTATTCAGTATGGCCAATAGTCGGTTTACATATGGGCTGGTGAAATACCTTATGTAATAAAACTATAAGTGTATAGCCAACTTCTGTCAAGAACCCCTTTCTGCCGTAAGGCATATGGCTTGAGATTTAGGCCGGTTACAGATAAATCTACCCTAAACACACCGAACACAAATACTCCTAGAGCACACACAACAATCTTTAATGTACAAAGATTATCAAACACCTGGCAGTTCGCCCCAAGAAGGTGTAGGCGCCCCTATCTGAAATGCAGGCTGTGATGACTTTAAAGCCCACTAGTCACACCTTCCTGTCCCTGTCGATAAGTACCTGGCACAAACCCACACTTCTCCCTACAGGCTCTTTCCACTTTCACTGGCCTCGACACAAGGATCATGAGGTACGCACAGAGGGAGTGGCCGAATGTGTTAGGGCAGAAAATATCACCATAACCAATACCCAACAACCTTAGATAGCTAATCTAACATAATTTAATTCAACAAACCTAACCACGTAACAATGCTAACTTCGTCAAACACCTTACAACACAATTACAAATTTGGACAAACCAAAACACATCTTTATCAATCACTACCACGGTCGATAACACGCTACGCTCTAACTGTCCAGTACTAGACTGTGCCATCACAATGTCCTAGAATCTTCTCGGGAGACCCTAAATCTTCTCTGTGCAGGCACTTTGTTCTACTTTCACTGCTCACCTCCTGACTTTGGGTTACCCGAGAATTCTTCCAGTCATGACCTGACTATCATACTCCTTATCCCATACTTGCACTGACCTCTGACAACTTCCATTAATGACAAACTGCATTTCTGGTTGAGACTGCTGACATTGGCACCTCTAGCAACTGCCATATACATTTACTGTATGTGCATAGTTCTGGATTGTGTTGGGACAATTGTTTGTTCACTAGTTTTTCAAATGGGACATTGAGGAACATTTCATTTGATCTTTCACTGGCACAGAAACGGAGCAAGTATGGGTGACCCGACTGCAGTGATGTTGAAACCTCAACTAAAACTAAGACTGACTATACCAACATAGATTTAGTTTACACACCAAAGTTACAAGAACATTTAATCCTATATTGGTCTACAACTGTATATCAGCTACAAAGAAGCAGTGAAGCATTTTAGTTGGCTGTCTGCTGAAGTCTGCTTTCATTAATTACTTTTCTCTTGGTGATGTTTGTTTTTTTCATTTCTCCTACCCACAGAACCTGGAAGAATACTCAGCTTGGAGATGAAATGATTCGCAGGTTACAGAATGAAGGACTGGAAGCTGCTATTGAAAAACAACAATATATAGGTATCACAAAGTGTTTGACTTGTGAACATTCAGTCTGGAGAGCTTAAGTAAATAATGCGATAGTAGACTGTGATACTTCAATCATTTCTACAAATACACATATATATATGCTAGTGTGTTAAATTGTTTTTGTTATATTCAGAAAATGGCAGGTGGCTACTGTGTGTTCAGACTGGTGATGTGCCATTTTTAGTAACACCAGCTTGTTGCGATTACTTTCATCAGTGATGAAATGCAGTTCTAGTTGCATATTGTTAGTTTTGACAACTCTAGTGGCTGTCTTATGCATTAACTGCTTGTGCATGCTTCTGGATTTTGCCTAGACCATATATTTTATTCAGTAGTTTTCAAAGTTGATAGTGAAGTGCATTCTTTGTGATTTTTGACTGACACAGGAGCAAGTATAGTGTAACCTGTTCACACTGAAGTTGAAGTCTTGACTACAGACTTCTGTCACAAACATACCCACACATATTCATGTACACTTATAATTGTACAGGACATTGACAGCCTTTTTTGGCAATGATCACAAGCTATTTTGGTTCGGGCACGTGGTGAGATATGATTTCATTGCAAAGACTGTACTTCAGGGAACATTAGGGGCTGGTAGAAGAGGAGGAAGGAAAAGAATAAATTGGAATGACAGCATCAAGAAATGGATAGGACTAATTATCCTACATTTGTTTAACAAGCGAAAGACAGAAAGATGGTTGGTTTTATGTGCTATTGCTTCCATCGATACACCTCCGTGACCCTAATGGGTCAAGGGTTATGTTATGTACACACATACATGCACATACAACCACACAGTCACACATACGCAGTCTTTACTATAAATTTCTTGTGAAATTTTCAGCAGTAATAACTCCGTTTAAAAAAAAAAGAGGAAAAATCAAAGAAAAAACAGAATCGTTTAGGACTTTGCTGAAATCGAATATGTTGGGCTGAAAAGCAGAATATCGCAGCTGAGTTGTAAATCACAGCATAACATGCCAACCATCCTTTCAAGGATAAATGCAGAAAAAGTGGGAGAATAATTTACAGAAAATATTTGTTAGGCAGGTCGACCCTATTCATAAACTGGTCTGTACTAGTAAAAGAAATAGTCTTTTCTTTGGTGAGAATTAAACCCAGACCATTAATTTCACAGGTAAGTGCGCTTATTGCTTTACCTCTGCAGCTTTGGGTTTTGAGTTAGAAGGGGTTACAGTTAAAAATGATCTTCATAGAAGTTAAATAAAGGAAGGCAGACAAAGATTACAGTTTCAACTGCTCTGTGCAAAAAAAGTTTCAGATAGTGAAAACAAATATCACATATGTTTACTTGCAGTGACTCTCTGGGCTTTACTCATGCAGCCTTCTCAGACACATTGACAAAGACGTGAACACAGCAAGCTTGAACAGAAACAAATGTCGAAAAACACCAAACTGTTGACAAATGTATGTTTATTGCTGCAACGATGTTCCTCTCGGTCATTGCGCCAGAGATTTATTGTCTAGGGTACATGCTGTATCTAAGAACATTCTGCTTACTGTTGTCAGATCTGGATATCTCTCACGTTCAGCACAGCACATCTCACAATTGCCCTTCAGATAGCAGAAAATGCATTCATAAACCACACATTACAGCACATGATCCGTCCTCCACTGCAAGTAGTTGTGGCTCAATTAGCCAGATTTTTGAGTGACTCAGACAGCATCTTAATCACATTCACACAATCTCAGGACACATTCACCTCAGTCATTCCAAGTTCCACAAGGCCCAGTTCTAACTAAATAAAAAACAAGGCTGAACTTTATGATTAATTCAAAACTTAACAACAATAAACCACTAGTTAATTGCCTGTTGACCTGTGGGTTTTAAATGCACTCCAAAGCTCTACTCACAGTTTCATGCTTTTTTCACTTGGCACGCTTCAGCCAAACATTTGCCTTGAGTTGGTGTCATGTAATCTATGTATTCACTCATTCATTATAATTACGATTTGATGCCATCCATCTTAATTCTCACAAAAAAACTTGTGCCTAGTAGATGTCCTCATTCTAAGTAATGAGAGAATTTACCAACAGTAAGAAAATGAGTCGTTACATTACTACTTGGAAAGAGAGAGAGACACACATACATCTGCATGCGCGCACACACACACACACACATGTACCTTTGTGACTGACCATGAATATAGCAGATAGTTGGTGAAGTAACAAGTATACATTTTCCATTCTAAATTTACAGATCGGTTGCAGTCAGAAGTTCTAGCATTATCTGAGGAGAAAATGAAAACAGAGGTCAGTAGTTCATGGAGTTTCCTTATTAGCCATCATATGTTTCTTGTGCCATCCCTTATTGTAATGTCAAATTATGGGCAATTGGTCAGTATCACACAAGCTAATTTACATTTACGGGCCCCTAGTTTTATGACAGCACGGAGGTCTTGGTCACTTTTAAAGCATGCACTCTGATGGAGGTCAAGCAGTAGATCTCTTACTAAGTCTCATATGGATTTAAATAGATGTCTGTATTGTACCATAAATATTTACATATATACTTAAAATTTTATATAAACCTGCATGCCCTGTAAAAATCTGTAAAAAATGAGCTTTTTTAAAAACAATAAGAAACATGTTAAAAAAAACTCTGAAACTCTGCCCTGAAAAGTTGAATGTTAAATTAAAAATCGATATCATAGAACTCGGGCCCCTCTCATAAGTGCTCCATCCCTATCTTCAGCAGCAAATTAAGAGTTTAAATTCTGATGGTACCAGTAATTGTCTAACTGTTCATCCATCTTTCCCCTAAGTGTTGAGCATTAGCCAGACCCCTTGTAACTTCTCACAGCCCCTTTCTCCTCAGACCGCAATGATCTGTTTGTGCTCCCACACTGTTCACTGACTCCAAAAGGGCCCTCACAACATCTGTCTTGTCATTAATCAGTTTTCATCAGTATTATCATATGAATTTAACATGCTTATTGATAAAATACAGCTGCAGTGTGAAAGACAGGTGTTTGAAAGGGCCGAATGTAAGACGGGCCTGCGTGCCCAATTTGTGAGCCTTTGAAAATAAAGTTTGTTCGTTTGTTCAGTTCACCACCAAGTTGTGCAGAACCAGCCAGTCAGTCTGCCTGCTCATTTCCCAACACATCATTCTGCCCTAAAAAACAGAAAAAGAAGAAAAGGCAGTGTGTGAAGCTAATGACCACTAAGCAGACAGGCAAGTTTGCTAGCTATTTCATCATTGCGGCCCCAGGTCACTAAAAAGATGGATTTTTTCATATTTAGAGTCATTGTGACCCCAAAAATGTTTTTAAAAACATTTTATATGAAGGAAAGTAATACTTGAACACAATGGAGAAAAGAAATAACTACTTTCCTTTCTTTTGACCAAGAAAATGTTCTTTGTTGACACAGCTACAGAGTGCATAGTGATGTCATCATAAGTTTATTATTTAAAAAAGTAAAGGACCCTTTCCACGCCTTTGGGCATATAGGGCTAGACCTATATTTTTATAGACCAATCGGCACAAGATGGGTGATGTGGTCAGCATCACGCCAGCCGCCTTTACTTCCCGGGGCTGCACCCGGCACCCACACAAGGCTGGGTTGACCTGGGAGTTATTATTTCTCCCCCACATATAATATCTCCAACAACAACAAATTTTTTTTTGTAGGTACTCACTACATCTGCATACAACACAGCTGTAACCAGTACCCAAAAGCTGTTATAGAAGCTTTGTCACAGTGTCCCCATGTTGGACACACTTTTTCTTTATTTTGAAGTTCCACTCTGGCTGTTGTCAGGGGCCCTAATATAGTCCTCCAACCTATGGTTTGAACAGGGTTTCTGGGACCTGTCTCTGGGTGATCTTTATCCGAATGGTGGCACTTTGTGTCACCATGTGTTTTTGCTCTCTGTGATGTCATGATGGGATAAAACATCAGTCTTATATAAGCTTTCAACCTCTGCCCAAAGACGTCATGTCATCAAAAATCCTAAAATCACTATTCTTGAGGGGACAAGATTAAGTTTATGAAATGTTTAGAAAACATGGTAACATTGGTTCTGTATAACTGTGCATGTTTAAGGAGCTGGAGAGAGTCAATCAAGAATTGGAGAAAGAGAAAGAGAAGCTGGAATCATTCACAAAGGAAATCCAAGAGGAATATGACAAAATTAAAGAGTAAGCACAAGTTGTGTTGTTTTTTGTTTTTGTATAATAACTGCAATCTGTTCTTGTAACTGTAAGAATCATTCTGATGTGTAATTTATGTCTCATATAGAGCTTGAAATTGACTCCTTTAGCTTTCCTGCTTGTGCAGTCCTTTCACCATCATATACAAAATAGTACAAATCAGCATTTCTAGTCTCTGTCATCAGTCTTCATCACTTGATCATTTTCCCCCTGTTGGTTCCGTGGCCCTATTTTAGGAAAAGAAAGAATAGATCTACTGCAACCCTGGCAAGCAAGTCGTAAAGGTTAACTAATCAGGTGTGTTTTTTTAAGTCAAAGTGCATCTGCTTGAGTGGTAAGGAACCAACAGCCTGCATACGAATAAGCCAGATCTGTAACACCCAGCACTCAGGTTCTGGAACATCGCTAAAGTCTAGAAGTGAATAAACAGCCAGAACTCTTGCCAACGTTAACTTCCATTGAACACAAAGAAGAAGTAGAAGAAGAAGAAGCAGAAAAAGAATTCATTTGTTCCCCGTTTAATTTTAGATTTTTTGTATGCTTCATGACAGAATGTGCCCAGTAAATTATCTTTCATGGCTTAGGCGTTGCGAGTCCGACTCGTAACCCAACGTACCATGATCGAAACCCAATGCTGGCTGCGTGGATTTTTATCATGGTACAGGGCGTCGCAGGTCCACCCAGCCTAAAATGGGTACCAGGATGGGCTGTCCTGGGAAAGTAAAGACAGCCGGCGTAATGCTGACCACATTACCCACCGAGTGCTGATGGTCTGTAAAAATATGGGCGCTCTTCCCATATGCCCGAATACGCTAAAGGTATGGAAAGGGATCTTTACTTTACTTTTACTTACCAGCGGTTGTCCACAAATTTATTTGATTTCCTGTCTTTCTTAAATAAATTTTTTATGGGGGTAGATCATGTAGTAACAAAATAATTTAGTGAGAACTTTAGTGAAGGAAATGGTAAGGGTGAAAGACCTAGAAGATGACAGAGATAGATATGTGTGGAAGACAAAACTGCCTGACTTCTGTGACAGACTGTTTATGACTAGGTCAGGCACACCGGGCAATGACAGTCTGTCATAGAAGTCACGCAGTTTGTAAACTTCCTACTCCAGACAAACACCTGCTGGACTGACTGACAGGCATGCATCACCGTTCTGGACCTTCATTTGCCGATGAATTTCTGTAGGTTTCACCCCCTTCATTGATTTTTTTCTTTCTTTTTTTTTTTTTTAAACATAACAAATTGTTTCCTTTCTTTGGTGCTTTAGGGCAAGTAAAAAAATTGGGTGGGGAGGGGGGATATTTATACTGTCATTATGACATCACAATGCTCATCTAAACCATGATATAAAGTGCTTGTCATTCTTGACATCTTTAACAACAATACTGACAGTTTACAAGACAATGACATGTTTATTGTAATTTCTGTCACACTTTTTAAAGTTTTTATTTGAAAAGCCTCATATAATCATCTGCTTTTTAATTTTATTATTTATATTGTGTGTATGTGTTGCAGTGAACTTGAAGAAACAAACATGTTGGTAAAACAAGTAGAAGATGACAGAGTTGCATTGAAATTGTCAATGCAGCAACAGAGTCAGCAGCTAGAAGTAAGTCCATTCTTCTGCAACTTCTCTTCTTCTTCTTCTTCTTCTTCTTCTTCTTCTTTTTTTTCTTCTTCTTCTTCTCCTCCTTCTTCTTCTTCTTCTTCTTCTTCTTCTTTCTCTTCTCTTCTCCTCCCCTTCTCCTTCTTGTTCTTCTTGTTGTTGTTGTTGTTCTTCTTCTTCTTCTTCTTCTTCTTCCTTTTCTTCTTCTTTTCTTCTTCTTCTTTTTCTTCTGGTGCTTCTTCTTCTGCTTCTTCTTCTTTTTCTTCTTCTTCTTCTTCTTCTTCTTCTTCTTCTTCACTACCTCTTTTATGGCTTTTAGATGTTCAGTTTCTTTCTCTTGTTGTTGTCTTGACCATAGACACATCATGCTGTTGTAAAGTTTTTCTTATGTTGTCTTTCCATTTTGTTCTTGGTCTACCTTGTGATCTACATCCTTTACATTTATATCTCATTTTATTTTATGTAGCAATATTAAATCCATACCTTCTTGCTACGCTTGTCACAACTTTACCACAGCCCCGTTGGTGTGACCCAGGGTGGCTTCTCTAGCAACATCCTGGCACAAGATCACACCATATATACTACCCAGTCCTAGCAATCCTCTACTTTGTTTTGTTTTAATTTTTGTTGTTGTTGCTGCTGTTGAGAACATAACATTGCATTCAGGAAAAAAAAGTAGGGCATTTTTGATAAAATTTGTTCCAAACTTAATGGGATTACCTGTCCTTTTGAGTTAAAAAATCCAGCTTGAAAAAGAGATCATGCTGCTTTGACAACACACAGTCTCTACAATTCTTCCCCAGGATTTGTGCCAGGGAGAGGAGGAAACTTCATCCCTGGCCCTAATTGGTATCACCATGGGTTCTGATTCCCATGGCAGACAAACTAGGCAGATCCCAGATACCAAATTCAACCCACAGAGACCCTATATTCAGGGCACTTGTAACATTACACCAACCAGGTGTAACCTGCAAACTTATGTTTAAGGGTGTTGTGTATGACATATAATAGCAAAACCAAGATGAATGATGATGACAAAACATGTGGCGAAGAGCTGCATTGACTTGTCTTCTTAATTATGTTGGGGTTTTTTTTTCTGAAATTGTTACAAGCCAGAGTCTGTGGCTTAATGATTATGAACACATTTATCATTTCAACATAGCAGGTTAAATTTAGCTGCAGACAGTGTGGCCATAGACTCCTTTGAATGGAACTTAACAGCCTTTTGAGCATCCAACACCCAGAAGCAATGGCAAACTACTGAATATAAAATTTCCTGGTAAAACTATAAAGAGACAACAAATGGTGGGATTGGTTTATGACATTTTGTAAAGGTTACAAGCAAAAACATTTTTAAAAAATTGTTACTTGCAGAATTTGAACAAAGACAAACAACGAATCCTTGAGGAACTGAAACAAAGCATGGCTGGGCAGACAACTCTTAGTCAGGAAAAGAGATCATTATCACAGCGGACAGAGAAGTTGCAGCTTCAGTTGTTGGAAATTGAAAACCAGACAAAGAGTATTGAAGATGAGAAGATTACAGCTGAAATGAGGTATGGAAGTTGTTCTTGTATTCTTGAAGAAGCAGTTACGGATTATGTCAATAGTTTCATGATAAGAAATACAAAAAGGTAATGCACACTTCACCCACCTGTATGTTAGTGGATTTCTAAGAAACATTATGCGGAAGTGGGGGGGGGTGGTTGCGTGGTCTCGAGGCATTGTGTCCGCCTCGAGTGCTAGAGGTTCTGGGTTAAATCCCTGGTAAAGGCTGGGATTTATTCATGTGGACTTGCACTTCTAGTAATTGCCCCTGGTCTCTGGGTAGTAAGATGCCTGTGAGCATTGTTGTGCACACAAAAAATTCTTTGACAGTTGGAAATTGAAAAGAGTAGCCTAACGACACTGCCCAGGCAAAATTTGGAGTTGAAAATCGACCCAAAGTATTTCAGGATCCTCGCCGGTACTACAGAGCCTGTGCACTGTGCTGAGCTTCTTCGGGCTCAGACTAAAGCTTGAAGAAGAACTGAGCACTTATGGGTTACTATCCATGGGCCATGATGTTGATCTGTTGTTCAAACTTCAAACCTTAGAAGAAACAGGTTTTAAAATCTGTATTTATCAGTTTCTAGGGCAGTGAAAGAGGAGGTGGGGGGTGGGAGGTCCTTGAGGCTGAAGATTTAGGGCTGCATGACTAGTGTAGTCACCTCAAAATTTGAAAGTTAAGATTATTATTTTTGCTCCCAGCAGAAAACACCCCTCACTTTACCAAGGATCTAAACAACACCACACCCTACCAGGCAGGTTGTAGAAGGCGACTAAGGGCATTATTAGGCTGGTGGTCAGCTATCTTATCTTTTAAAGAATTTTAGCTGCACCAGCCGACCACTGTGAACAATTCTTAAAATGTTTGTGATGGCAAAGAATGATAAAGTGTAACGTAAAGTGAAGAAAAGGATCTCTGTGACGCCATTGACATATAATGTTAGACAGCAGGTGTAGGATGCTAGAGATCCAGTTATCTTGGAGACTTGAATCCCCATTGGTAGATAGGTCATGAACTGACTCACATGAAGTTTTTTTTTTTTTTCATTACATGCTAAGCAGCCCATTTCCTCTCCAATTAATCACAAGTCTTAAATTATCTCTGGTGATCTCCCTTTATCTGTTTGGCTCTGTGGGTTCTAGTGCAAAAGCATTTTAGTTATATTACTACAGGTTTTCTCTACATGTGTCCTAACTGCAAAAGTCAGCTAACTATTCTTCTTCTTAAAGTCCAAGCCATGTTGCGCTGGTAGTCATGTATATCTACAACCTTCTGTCTTGTGTGCTTTCAGTCAACTGTGACACAGATGATCCTCCATGCCATGATGTCAAACTGTCCAGCATCTTTTCTCTCTGTCTCCCTCTGCCTTTCCTCCACTCCAGCTTTCCTACTGTTACAGTGTACTCCAGATTTTCTCCTTCTCATCACATGACCAAAGAATGTAGATTGTCTTTTTCTGATGTGGGCAATCAGTTCTCGTTGTGAGTCAGTTTCTTTAAGACTTCTTCATTACTCTTTTTATCTCTGAACTATTAATTACTCTGAACTATTTATTGCTCTGAACTAATTAGAAGACGTGTGATTACAATACAGGCTTAGAGACAACCAAGAACGACTTGATCAGCTGGAAGAGGAGAAAACTGCAATATCAGAGCATGCTTTTGAGCTGGAAACAACAATCCATGACCTGGTCACACAGAAAGAGTTAACTGAGAAAGAACTTAAGGTGCGTTCAGAATTTTTCTCTGTGTGTATTTGTCTGCTTGTGTGTATATATGTGTACATGCATGTGTTTGTTTTAAAAAAAATATATGAAATAGAAATAGACCTTTCATATTTTTAGACCAATTATAATAGGTGTTCGTAAAGATTTTTTTTGAGTCTGGAGTACAAATAAAAATCCCAACTTTCACATTCGGTGGCTACTGCAGTTTCCTTGCAGTTGTATTCCTCAGGCTCAATTCGTGTTGTTCCATGATAGTATCATTTCTAACTTAGTCTCAGATGGTTAAGTTGATGGCTTTCCTATGGCATCTTATTTCACAGTTTATTATTGTTTGATGCTGCTGGAGTTTCAAAGAAAGAAAGAATATGAAATCAAGAAATCAGATGAGCGCTAGGAATAAAGCCAGTATTACAGGTTATCAAAGAACAACAAATGAAGTGGTTTGGGCACTTAACAAAAATGCCCTGGTACTATCTACCACAGTGAGCCACACTAAAACATTACAACGGGTATAAAGCAAGCGAAAGACCTTGGAAAAGATGGAGTGATGGCAATAAGAACAGCCTTACTGAAATAAACATCAGTCTTAATAGTGCTCTTGATGCGAACGAAAGAAGAAGAAGTAGTGCTCTTGACAGAGCTCATCAGCGCTGAGGTACAAGGTATAAGAGATGAAGAAGAAAAAGATTATTATTTCATATTGATTTAGATTTTTTAGGATTTGAACATCAAAGCCGATTTGCTTTTAAATAGTATCAATTCTTGAAAAGCAAAATACTTCCTCCCTATTAACCTTGTATGTTGTTGAAACCATTGTCTTTCCAGACAATAGAGTTATTTTGTGATATGCAGAAGCACTGAGAGTCACAGCCTGTGGTGATGGTGAGTGTGACTAGCAAGATTCACCAGCTTTCAGAAAAGTCTTCCACAGTTAGAGCATGGGATTTCAGGATGTTGTTGCCATCACATGTATTTGGCTGCTTCTTCCCAGATACTCAGCTCTCAACCTTTCTGCAGTCAATGGTTCCCCTTTATTCCTATTTCCTTCTCAATTTTTTTCCCCTCCAAGAAACACAGTCAGTAACATTTTGTTCCCACAAATCTATCTCACCACCTGTATCATTCTTGTCCCACTTGCACACATCTTTATATCATATTAGAGGCCGACCTCAACATCTTCTATCCCATAATGGTTTGGGGACAAAAATGTAATTTAGGGTATGGTTCGGGGAAGAAGATGCAGAAATTGGCCAGCATGATGGCAGACACAGGATATCAAGCACTGGTCAGGATAGTACATGCACCTGTAAAGTTGGTAAGGGACCAAGTGGCTTTTAAGCGTGCTGTGATGAGAGCAGTATTCTTGCCTAAACGGCAGGATTAGGCATGGCAGAATGGTATCTTGGAAGTTATTGTTGCTTCTGACAGCGCTTTGCTAATGCAGTTTCCATATATAGCTGAGCTCCTGAGTTTAGTGCTTGGTGCAGCCCTGAGAACTGTGTTTTTCCTGTGGAATGCCTTTCATTTGTGCATTGTTTGTGTCCTGGTATTCATTGTAGTCAGTTTACGTGTGAGCTGATGAAAACATCTTATGTAACAATTCTACGTTTATATAGCCAACTTATCATGCCTGACTACTTCCATCAAAGACAAACAGTATTTCTGGTGGTGACTTCTGGCTTTGGCACCTCTAGTAACTGATATATACAGTTACGGCTTGTGCATATTTCTAGATTATTCTGGGACTTATTGTTTGTTCACCAGTTTTTCATATATGACAATGAGGGACATTTCATTTGATGTTCACAGGAAGGGATCAAGTATGGGGAAACACAACTAGGACAATCTGCAAATGACCTGCTACCTGATGACAAATCACTTCAGTTAGCATATAATCAAGCATTTTTTGTTATGTATTGTTAAAAGCTTCTTGAACTCTTTCAGCACTAGGAAACTCACTTTGCATTCACTAGTTACTTGTTTATTTTGTGAAGGCGGTCACTGCAGCTTTCAGTTGCTAGAGAACAAGATGCATACACATGTCATAATTGTAACAGACTCTGAAAGCATGCTGAGAAAGGTGAAGACAGGGATGCTTCGATCAGAGTGGTAAGCTTCCCTTGGAAGGTTGCAGGTAGTGAGCATACTTTGGACTTTTTCTCCAGGCTATGCCAGCGTGGTGGGGAATGAATAGGTAGCCAGATTGGCTGGATCTGCACCACTGGGTGGTGTATTTATACAGGACAAAGCAGATGTAGTCATGGCACTGTGGGAGCAAGTAACGAAGTCAGAAGAGAAACTAGAATATTATGGCCTGGAGAGATTGATGAACCTGGGTGTGACTAAAGGGTCTGGCCAACTCATTACACTCAGAGAAAAAGAAGATGGACATATAAACAGACAACGACCAGTACCATTAGTATTAGAACTCTGCACTAGCTGCTGAAGATGGGAACAGAGCACATATGGGAATGCCCCAAGTGCTGTTATGCCAATTCTTGACTCAATTCAACACAACTAGTTACTCTTTACTTAGATTACATTTTTTCCCCTCTTCTGTTATTTATATTAACCCCTTCCCTTATATTTCCGTTGCTACTGTAATGACTTTTGTCCCAAAGTTGTATTTTTTTGTTCCATGATACTAAAAAGCATTTGCTCTAAGTTACAAAACTATAACATAGACACTGCTGAATTAGAAACTCCCTGGCAATGAAAGAGTTAAGAGGACCACTTTCCACACCTTTAGGCATATAGTGCTACACCTATATTTTGTAGACCAGTCGTCACTCAGTGAGTGATGTGGTCAGCATCCTGCCGACCACCTTTACCTTCCTGGACTATACTTAGGATAACCTGGGAGCCAAGGTCATGTTTGAAAAAAATTCTGGCTTCATTCAGATTTTAACCCATTGATCAGGTGAGCATTTAGCCACTACACCATGGTGACTCCCAAAAGCTTCTATTGCCTCATTTATTTATTTTTGCACACAGTTTTAATAAGATTTGTTACAACAACAACAACGACAACAACAACAAAACTTATTGCAGGAAGAAATCCGAGCCAGAATATCAGCAGAAGAGAGACTAAAAGAAGCAGAGAGATCTCTGAAGTGCCTGGATAGTGCTGTGGAATCTCAAGCTCATCGCATTGAAAGTGAGGCAAAAGAAGAAATGACTGTCAATGTCAGAAAGCTTAAAGGTTGGTATCAAAGTGTTGAAAGTTGTGATTCCAATAAAGAATAATAGAACACTTTAAATAAAACTAGCCAGAGAACACGACACACACACATATTGTGATTGTTACTGACCCAGCAAGCATGTTGAGGAAGATCAGGACAGGCAAGCTTCGTGCAGAGTGGCATGCCTCGCTACAGAAGACACGGGTGAGAAGCATTGTCTGGATTTTTTCACCAGGTCATGCCGGTCTGTTGGGAAATGAACAGGCGGACAGACTGGCTGGCTCTGCACAGCTTGGTGGAATACTGATGCATGATAAGGCAGACGTGGTTAGTGCCTTGTGGGAGAGCGTGTACAGTGTGGAGGAGCAGATCGATCACCACAGTGTGGTGAGACTGATGCAGTTGGGAGTGACAAGAGGTTCTGGCAGATGCTCGAGGCTCAGAGGAAAGGCAAGATGGACGTTAAATCAGAATGCTACTGGCACCATTAGTATCGGAACTCTTTGCTGGCTGCTGAAGATGGGGACGGAGCACTTATGGGAGTGCCCCGAGTGCTGTGATGTCGGTTCTTGAATCAAATCAGATCAAATCAAATCAATCATATAAAACTAGGTAACAGCTAATGAACACTTGACATACAGTAATTAAACTAAGGGATCTCCCTGTGTGGGTTCCAGGGCCCTGTATGGTTCCGGGGCCCTGTATGGTTCCAGGGCCCTGTATGGGTCCGGGGCCCTGTATGGTTCCGGGGCCCTGTATGGTTCCAGGGCCCTGTTTTGGAAGAAAGAAAAAGAGAATAGACCCACTGCATCCCTACAAAGCATGTAATAAAAGGCAACTAATTAGGGGCATTTTCTTTAAAGGCAGATTGTATCTGCCTGAGAAGCGAGAAACCAACAGTCTGCACACATATAATACATATCTGTAAAATGGGTGTGAACGCAAAACTTAGGTTCTTGAACAAGACTAGGGTTTAGAAGTGGACGAACAACCATAATTTTTTCTGCTGGAGTTTACTGCCAGTGAATGCAAAGAAGAAAAATAACTAAGGAATCAGAGCTGAAACACTGCTGGGTTTGAATTAGAAGCAGCACATGAACTATAAACTTTATGATAAGCATTAATAAAAAAAAACCTACATAAATCTGAAGCATACCTAAATTATAATTTATTCAGTGTACTTCCTTCTAGAAGAGTAAAGGTGGCTGAATAGGAGAAGGAATTTATCTGTTGGTAAATGGAAATCAGTGCACACTGCCTTAGCAAAGGAGAAGACATTCTATGGACATACTGTCATTGGGTTGTGAAGGGTTATACCATGGCATGTTCACCTTCCTTCAAGACTGGATGGATACTAGATAGGTGCTGGAATAGGGAAAGCCAGAATAAGAAAACAGATCTGTAGAATCACAGATGTAAAAGCTACTAAAGTCAAAAAGCCAGTGGAAAATACGCAGAAGCGAATAAAGATGTTAGAAATCATATCAGAGGTTAGTTTTTCTGTTTTTTTTTTTTTACCCTGTTGCCTCTTGAATGTTAAAAAAAAAGTGGGTCATGGACCCAGAAGAATTTTAACACGAAAAGTTCTTTCAAAACAACCATATTAAACAGATCACTAATAAATGTTTTTAAAATGTATTTATCTTAATTAATAGTTTTTATTTACAAATTTATAAAGATATAAAAAGGGGTAATGAGTAGACATAAACAAACTGCAGCATTTCCTGGGGCATCAAAAATAAAACTTATAGGGTAACTATGCTGTGACTCTATCACTGAGGCTTACGAACAAATTTGATTCCAAATTGGCTTTCAAGAAGCCACTGGCTCGAAAGAAAATGTCCCTTAAATGCTATTCATCATCATCATTCCATAACACTGCATATGTTGGATCACCAGTTTCTGTTAACTGTCTGATCAGCTCTCTCCACCTTTGATGGACTTCATGGCTGCCTGCCTGAGGCCTGTACCAGTCATCAAGTTCTGTATCTTTCTTGATCTGCCTCTTCTCCTCTTCCCCTTTACTGAGACATGTAGTATTGTTTTTTAGAGTAAATACTATCATTAATTACTATATTCATATCCTAGGATATTAAATACTTTGCAGACCCACATAGGGCCAGTGAAATTTAACCCTGCTTTTCAAGAACTGGTTAGTGCAGACATGGTCATATATCGCCATTTATGGAGATGTGGCGCAACATTTAGGCTCCTTGGAGCAACAGGATTAAATTCTGCCATGACAGTAATTTGAACATATGATCTTTGGGCTGACAGGCAAGCATACTAGTCACTGTCATACAGCAGAAATTGTCATTATTACATGATATGACATACATTTAAGTATAGTTTTACAAAACATATATAAATTATATTTCTTTGTGCAGATTTCTTTGAGGATTTGGCGGAAGAAGCACGCATTACATCAGAAAAGCCATTGATCATTAGAAATGGAGTAATGGCCAGAAAAACAATTGCCCGCAGAGCCAAAACTGTGAAATATGAGAATAACAGAAAACGGTCAAGCAGTAAGTTATTGAATACTTTTGTCTAGCAACCAGTTTGTCCTTTCCAGTCTGCCTGTGTGTCACATTTTATGCCTGTATGTGCTTGCATGTGTGTGTACATGTGTGCGTGTCCATGCATGGGTGTGTGTATGTATGTGCATGCATGCATGCAAGCGTGTGTGTATGTCTAAAACAATGTTGTAGCTGCGTTGGCTATGTGTATTTCCTGTTGGCACCTTCACTTGTTCAGATGATTGTATTACATAGTTCTAAAAGATGAGAGGATCAGCTTCGTTGCACCTGATTTTATCCCATATGGCTCAGTCTCTCTCTGCTGAACAGCTAGCCGCCTGTCGAGAGTGTCACACAGAGCATGGACTCCATTGCTCCAGCAGTGATCCCTAGGTATCTCAGTAAAAATTGCACATGTAAAATGAATGCCCAACCTTCTTAGTGTGAGCCCATGTTTAGAAAATCCTTCTACAGTAAGTGCGTGGGATATTAGGACCAATATTTCCATCATAGTTTGTTTTTGTTGGTTCTTAAATGCCAGCTCTTAACCTGTTTACAATAATTTTCTCCTTTGTCCTTATTCTCCTTCTGATCGTTTTCTCACTCAGTGCATTGGTCTCCATAGAATCCTGTGCTCAGTACCTGTATCATTCATACCCTGCTTCAACCCATCTTTATATATGTAGTAAAGGCCCACCCACAATCTACTGCCAATCTGTGATTCAGCAAGTAGGATTCTGCCATCACTCAAATGTGCTTAGCTGTCTGAGCCTTGATCGACTGGGCAGTAATAAGACTGTTCTACGTTTTCTAGTACTTAGTGTCTATGATTTTGGTTTTACCATGACAACAAATATAATATAGTGACAATATCATCATCATCATGTAGCAGGTCCTTTGCAGAACGTTGCTCTTATCACAGTCTGCCTGTAAGAAACTCGGTCTCTCGCCAGTTCTCCCGCCTCATGCACTTTCACACTCAAGGAGTCACTTATATCCTGTGCCCATCTTCGTGTCGGTCGGCCCCTGCCCCTCCTTCCTGGTATCATGCCTTCTGCTATAATTATTAGCCAATCTTCCTTGATGTTCAGATATTTTAAGATGTCAATATTTCTCATCTTCTTTGTCCAAGATATTTCTATAGCATTTCAGCTCAAAAGCTCCTATTCTCTTTCTTAAGGACTGAGAGATAGTCCATGACTCACATCCGTATGTAGCCACAGGGAAGATGCATGCTCTCAAAATTCTAATTTTTATCTCCTTGCTGGTGTTTAAGCATAGACTTTTAAGGCTGTTCAATCTTTTCATTGCTGTGGCCATCCTCCTTTTAATTTCTGTCGAACAGTCTCCATTGCTGTTTATTATAGAGCCTAGATATTCAAAGTTTGTGACATTTTCAATTTCTAGATCATTTATTGTTATTTTTGGGTGACAGCCAGTTTTATTTGTGGACATTATTTTTGTTTTCTTTAAATTCAAGAACAGATTTTGATAGTGACAATATAGCTGATATAATTAATACTGCTGACAGCCCCAACTAGATTTTAGAATTTAGCAAAACAAATGTAAATTTGTTCAGTCTGCCAGTGGCATGGAAAGTTTTCTGTACTTTTGTCTCGTTACTATATTGCCATTAAAACCTTACGTTTTTCTTGTTACTACATTTGCCAATTAGTTTAATTAAAAAAAAAAATACATTTCATAATAAAGTATATATTGAGCATACATCATGATGTGCCACTGGTCTGTAAAAATAAAGGTCTAGCCCTATATGCCCTATACCCTTAAAAGCGTGGAAAAGGGTCCTTTACTTTTTTTACTCTTTTATACATAATGACAAGATTTTGTAGTGTCAGTTGAGTTTAGTTTGGTTAAGAACCGAAGTCACATCACTCGGGACATTCCCATAAGCACTCCATTCCCATCTTCTGCAGGAGCATACATCATGAGATGATTTTCATAGTGTTTAATTTAGTTTAGTTTAGAAACGAAATCACATCACTTGGTACATTCCCATAAGCGCTCCATTCCCCTCTTGTGCAGTCCGTTCAGAGTTTCAGTTTTAATGGCAGTCTGAATGTATGTCTGTCTTGTCTTTCCTCTGAGTCTTGAATCTATAAATCTCCTGGTCACTCCACATCACACTATTCTCTCCAGGCCACAATGATCTATTTGTGCTTCCACACTGTTCTAACACTCCCAAAAAGCCCTGACAGCATCTAGTTTCCACCTTGTGGATCTGAGCCAGCTGGTCATCTGCCTGTTTATTTTCGAATACACCTTCTTCCTTTGGATATAATATCCAAAGGACTAACCACCTGAGTTCTCTGAAGTGATGCTTGCCACTCTCCATGGAGGCTCCACTTTTCTCAGCATGCATGGTGAGTTTTTATAGTATTAGTCATGTTAGTCATTACTCAGGGTTCATCACAGTCTGGTGAGAGTAATGCATTAGGAGTAATGAGGACACCTTGCCAATACTTGTTGCTCAGAGAAAAGGCAAGATGGACATATAATCAGACTGCTACTGGCACCATTGGTAATGGAACTTTGTGTTGGCTGCTGAAGATGGGGATGGAGGGTTCTTGGGAATATCCAGAGAGCTGTGATGTCGGTTCTTGAGTCAGCTCAACTCAGTTGAGGTTGGCACATCACTGCTGATAGGTCACCCCATAACTGCTCTGTTCCTGTGCTAGTGGAAATCACACAAAATGTCCTTCATTGTCCTGTTTGAAAACTAGTGAAAAGTCTTGTCAGTCCCAGCAAAATCTTGAAGCTTGCACATGCAGAGTAAAAAGGTATAAGGCAGTTGTAAAATGTTCCAGTGCTAATGATCCCACCTCAGAACAGCAACTCACTATTGGTACAAATGGCTAGTCACGGAAAGCTGGCATTGCAGTCGCAAAAGTGCACACAGTTCAGAACAGGATTGGCCACCTGCCATTTTAGTGCAGTCAACAACACGCTGTGGGCACAACAGGAAAATTTTACACATGAAATCCACAGCTCACAGTGTCTCCCTAAGCAGTCAACTCATTAGCTGGGCAATGGAACCTTTAAGGTTGATGCAGTCTAAAAGTGGGCACAAGAGAAGTGTCTCAGCAAGTTAAGATGTGTGGTGCGATGTTGAGCACATCAAATATTGATTGGTCCATTAAAAAAAGTAGGGTATAGCACCACTCAACTGATACAGTAGAGCACAAAAAGGAACCTTTACTCTTGTCATGTTTCTGAATTTGCAATATAAACCTAAATAATTAAATTTAAATGCATTTCGCAAGGTCCCCATGTGGGTTCCGGGGTCTAATTTTTGATAAAAGCATAATGTCTTAAGAGTTGACTAATTGGGGAGTTCCTTCAAAGTCAAAGTCCATCTGCCTGAGAGACGAGGAGCCAACAGTCTGCATACAAATAAGCAAGAAATGTAAAATGGATATACACACAAAACTCAGGACCTGGAGCAAAGCTGAAGTCCAGGAATGGCCAAACAACCAGGTCTTCCCACCGGGGTTTGCAGCCGAAGAACGCAAGCAACAACAACAAGAAGGGAGTAATTCGTTTGAATTTAACACATCTCATGAGACGATTTTGATAGGATCAATGTCATTTAAATTTGTCCAGCTGACACAATGTATGTAGGTTAGAAGTTTGCCCTTCTATATGATTTCTTTGCCTTTTTTAGGTTTCAGTTCTCATGAAGGTAATTTTAAATTCTGTAGCTTTTGTTTTGTTAATATTTTTTAAATATTTTGGTAGGGTTGTAGTTTTTATTTATATTTTGATTTTTCACACATGCACCTACTCGTATATACTCACACACTTCTCTCTCTCTCTCTCTCTCTCTCTCTCTCTCTCTCTCTCTTTCTATATATATATATATAATTGTTACAGTGTAGCAGCTATACAAGCCAGTTACAGAAGGCAAATCTTTTTTTCTAACAGTACATGCTTTTATGGTGTTGGATCACCTTGTCTGTCCCCAACCTTCTGTCATGTGGGCTGTCAGTAATTTCTTACATATGTGTTCTTTCTTCTAGGTTAACCTGCCAGACTGTCCAGAATCTTTTCTTCCACCCCCACCCCCCCCCCCCTTTTTACCAATTTTTCCAACTTTCCTCTTGTCTTGATAGACTGAAAAAAAAGTAAAACTTGTTCTTCTTATATGGGTAATCAAATTCTCTTTGTGAGTTACTTTCTAAACGAGTTTGTTCCTGGTTTGGGTTTTAGAGCCCCATGATGGGGAAAACTAGTTCACTAGTTTTCAAACAGGACAATGAAGGACATTTTGTGTGATTTCCACTAGCACAGGAACAGAGCAGTTATGGGGTGACCTATCAGCAGGGATGTGCCAACCTCGACTGAGTTGAGCTGACTCAATAACTGACATCACAGCACTCCGGATATTTCCAAGAACCCTCTGTCCCCATCTCCAGCAGCCAACACAAAAGTTCCAATACCAATGGTGCCAGTAGCAGTCTGATTATATGTCCATCTTGCCTTTTCTGTGAATAGACATACTGCCTCCCCAACAAGCATGTCATAAGAGTTGACTAATTGAGGGCTTTCTTCAAAGTTGGAGTGCATCTGCCTGAGAGGCATGGAACAAACAGTCTGTATATAAATAAGTCATACATCTGTAAAACAGGTGTATACTCAACACTCATGTTCCGGAACAAGACTAAAGTCTAGAGCTGGACAAACAACCAGAACTTTTTGCAGGAGTTTACAGCTGGTGAATATGCAGAATAATAATAAGAAACCATTTTGTTAAAAGTTAATCAAGAGATTAAGTAGTAATAACCAGTTAGTAATAGTGTAATCCAGTAGTGCTTTATTTGTTTATCAAATTGTAATCATTGTATTAAGTAGTAGCAATAACCTCTTTGTTAAAATGTAATCAAGAGATTATCCAGTAATAACCTTTTTGGATCAAACGAATAGTAAAGTAAAGGACCCTTTTCCACGCATTTAGGCGTATAGGGCATATAAGGCAAGACCTATATTTTATAGACCAATCGGCATAAGATGGGTGATGTGGTCAGCATCACGCCGGCCGCCTTTACTTCCCGGGACTGCACCCGGTACCCACTCAAGGCTGGGTCGACCTGGGAGTCAAAGTCATTTTTTAAAACAGTCCGGCTTGGCCAGGGAGCGAACTCACGACCTTCCGAATCAAAAGAATAATTAGTAATAACCTCCTTGTTAAAGTGTAATCAAAAGATATAAGTGGAGATAACCTGTTTGGTAAAGTGTAATTTAGAGGAAGAAGGTGGATCAAATATCACTTTGGTCTCACAAATGAGCACAAAATAATTGTTATGTTTAGAAAGAAAAGATTATGAAACATCTCATAATAAATATATTAATCCTCACCGTATGCTACCCAGCCTAAAATGTGTACCAGCTGTAAAGTCGTGGAAAGTGAGGGCAGCCAGTGTGATTTTTACCACATCCCCCACCAAGTGCTGATTGATCTGTATAGATCTAGCACTATTTACCCAATACACCAAAGCGCATGGACAAGGGTCCGTTAGTTTAATTTTAATCGATGCTACCAGTGCCAGACATGGTTATTCACAACAGTTTTTCCGAAACAAAAATGAGATGTCTGAGAAATGCTTTAGAGTGACTTGAGAGATAAAATCAGGAATTAAATCATGAGAGAACCTTAACAAAGAGCCAATACTAAATTACATACACAGACAGCAAATAAATTGTTTTGCCCACCTAGAGAGAAGGTGTTGCACCACCATACCATACAAGGCTTGCACCAAAAGAGTAGAGAACATCCAAGCCTGGATAGTTACATGAGATAGAAAGATTACATTTGAGAAACTCAGTGTTTTTTGGTCAAGGTTGCCAGTATATCGAGAACCACAATGCTGTATTTCCCTCAAAAAGAGGTGGTTAAGAAGAATATGGCGAGGGAAGGAACAGGTCATACTACCTTAGTATTGAATGAACTGTTATTTTCCCAAGTGGGTTACAGGGCTGCATTTGAGAATGAGGGAGGGGAGAATAGATCCATTAACCTTTCATAAGCATGTCATAAAAGGCAACTGGGCTTACTGAAATCAGATGTGTGGTGCCACAGGGTGCAGATATAGCAGTCTAGCTGTAAACCATGACACAGTGTACCAACCACCCTTTTAAGCGTAAACACAGAAAAAGAGAATAACTACAATAATTGTGTTCATGTATGTTGTCCTAACAGTTCTCACTACTAAATTAGCATCTTCAATGTAATTACCTTGACCTTTATTAGCAACATTTAGCAGGTCCATTGCAGAGTATTGCTCTCTCTGACAGACAGACCATTTTTAGAAAATACTTCTAATCTTTTATACTATTACTAATAATACCTTTTTCTGATGTTTCAGTAGCACGCGCCGGTGACGTGAATTCTTCAAAGCCTAAACCAGTTGTTCGTCGAGCAGCAACTTCAGTTGATCGTGACGCTAGAAATAATCTATCATCAGTATTTGAGGAACGATTTTAAATGAATTTTCATCACTTTAACACCCATTTCTATGAAGACTCTATTATACAGAATTGTCTATGCTCATGTCAAATGAGTACTCAGCAAGACAGCAGATAAACTGTGTAGTAATTTTTGAAAGCTAGTAGATATTGTGTGCCAACAAAGAAATTAAAGAACTTGTTTCGCATTATGAGGCATATTTGACATGAAGTGCCTTATTTCTATAGAACAACTGGGTCTTGATTGTTGATGCATGTGCCATATTGTACTGTGAAATTTGTAGTTGTAAATTGCAGAAAAATGAAGATGTGTTGTATCTGAGTTCAGCATTATGTGTTCCATTTGGCTTTTCAGTGGTAACAGTGACTATTGTTAAATAATATAAATTGACTTTTCTATTATAAATCTTACTTTCTGTTTGTCATGTCATCATCCAAGGCTGTTATATATATATTTTTTTTTAATAGCTGTGTATTTAAAACATTTCACTTTGAGCCATTATTTTATATGGTTTTCAGATTGTGAGGAGCTGGTGGCTAAAGGTTAGAATGCTGATCTTTAACATCAGGGGATCTGGGTTTTTGTTCCCAGAAAGGCACATATTTTATATTCTTAGTCATATATTCTCCTCAAAAAATATTCATTGCTGGGGATTTCTTTGAAACATTGAAATAGCATTAAAAATGAATTGATTGGCTCTCACAGAAGTAGAAGAAGGAAGTCAATAAATACAAAGGAATTTATTTTTCGTGCTTTTTCCTCAATCCTTATCAAACCCCTCCTGGCATATACAATTAGTGGCACCATTTATTTTTTTATTTATTACATCATAGGCATCTTGACTCCCAGGTTGACCCAACTAAAATGGGTATCCTGGGAAGAAAAGGGGGCCAGCAGGATGTTGACCACATCACCCATCAAGTGCTGATTAGTCTATAAATATATAGGTCTACACTGTATGCTTGATCACAGGCTTGCAACCAGCACAGCCTCTTGTTGCACAAGGATCTCCCCCTCTCACAGCAGACGCAGGCAGCACGCAGGTCTAATGTTTATTGGTCAGACGCGGTAGTTCCTGCAGAGCAATATTCAGTGATAGCCACCTGATCAGAAGGGACAAACACTTGCAAAATCCAAGCATAAACTGTTTACGTTGTGGAGCAGGATCCCTCGGCTGCTCATACATCCAAGAGTGCACAAGAACAATAAAGACAGTGATAGCTGACAACCTGCCATACAATGAAGCAAGAAGGAGTAGTGAGGCAGTCCAGGACATGTCTGACATTGAGAGATGAAGACTTCTTACACAGACCAAGGAGCAGAAGAAACAGTTGCAAAAGGTTCGGCCCTCACAAAAGACAAGCACGAATGACAGGAGCACAGAAACTGAGCCCATGGAGCAGCAGTGTAAGTTTCAGAACACAGAGATAGTGATGAGAGTAGAAATTTAAAAAAAAAATTAAGCACCAGGGCCCAGAAAATAAGGTAGCAACACAAATCACAGTTTATGAAAACAGTAAAAGCAGTAGGATAAACCGATGATGTAGACAAGAAGATTAAAGAATTTCAAGACCTGCAGCATTTGATAAAAAAAGAGACCAAATACCAAGGAAGCATGAAAAGCCGGTGCAACACCACAATGGAAAAGATGGACCTCAAGCAAATGATTCTTGATGAACAGTGGAAAAGAATCCAGCAAAGTCTAAAATCCTTGGACCATTTAGAAGTCGAAAACAAGGCTACAGATGCAGCAAGTAACATAGACATAGAAATTACTGAAAGTCAGGATTAAAAAAGTCCAGTGAAACAAAAGGCAACTCCTGCCAGCACCAGCCAGTGGAAAACAAGCCAGAGGACAATAGGCAGGTAGAGTCCTTATCAGAACTACTCTTTCTCAGGACCAGTCCTTCTCAGGGCTACACCAAAATGAAACAGATATCTGCGCAGGAGATGTCAGAGGAACCGTCACTTAGATACAGCAGGTAGTAAAATAAACACATGTTGAAAGAAAAGCTAAACGAATGCAACCTTCACACAAACTTAGAAGGGAGAAACAATATCAGATACCCTAATTATAACCTCATACTAAAAATTGAACAGGGTCAATTCATTAAAAAAAAAATATATGCCAGGTGTGCCAAAGCTATAAAGAGGATCCATTTCTTTTTTATCATAGGCACCATTTGCCAGGGGTATTTTCTATGCTGGGAAATAAAGTGATTTTACCTAAGCAGTTACCATATTTTTTTAAAACCTTGTGCCTTAATGAGGAATAAACACATGTCCACAGTCTGTCAGGCAGGCCTACTGACTCTTGAGCCACCTGCTCCTCTGTAATGCCCTTTTGTCTTACCTCACTTATGTGGGATAGCTTTCAGGATAACAGAAATAATACTCAAGTATTAGGCATACTGTGATGTTATGTTATATAATAAAAAAAAATTTAAATCTCTCTTTTAAGGGACAGATGAGATGACTTACTGATATTCATAATTTAAATTTAAAAAAAAAATTATTTTTCTACCATAAAATTGAAAGCCATTTATTAATTCATAAATTTTAACTCTCATAGGGCATGATCATCTTCCCATGTTTTATTCAGGATAATTTTTTTGTTTAATTGCCATTTAACGTGTCCAATACCAAGCAACACATCCCGTGTTCATTGGTTAATATATGCATAATTCTTTTTGTTTTTCTTTATTGTTTTGTTCCGTGTTGTTATTACTTTACAGTAATATATCTTTTGAAGAGAAGAAATTAAACTTATACTGTCAAAGTAACGCAGAGAATGCTGGGACAAAGTAGCTGACAAATTTACTAGGACAGAATGAGTCAAAGTAACTAGCAAATAGCAGACACAAAATTAGTCAAAGTAACTAAGACATATTTGAGTCAATATGAGTCAAAGAAACTACTGTTAAGTATGAGCCATTAGAAGTTAAAGTATTAACTAACATGAGAATTATAATGAATTACAATTGAATTAGAAACAAATGAGGTAATGTTAATGTAAATAGAAGTAGAATAGTCAGCTACTTAAGTGGTTTTCATTACACTTTTTTTAAAACCACATTGTATTTTATTTGACATGACTTAGTATATTAAGAATTTCACTGTTAATATGATTTAATGGTTGTTTGCTGATGAGCGTAATTCTTTTCACTGTATTGAATATTCTTTTAATTTTTTGGTCAAGTTCGACTGCATTAAAAACCTGGCCATTTTATACCTGAGTAAATATTTTAACTTGGTTACCCTTTGGAGAATGTAAGTTTTATTTTTTTGAAATATCCATAATTTTTCCCAGTCTCCTATCCTTTTGCGTAATATTGTTTCTCTGCTTTTTATTTATATTTTATCAGTCATCATTATTTGTTTATAAATGTAATTTATCTGTATTTTTTAATATAAATATATACATGAAGTCTTCAGGCATAATGTACATGCATGATAATGTTTGAACTTGTCCTCTCCTTAATGTTACCAGTCCAGAAATCAGGTAAATAGTTCAACAGAATAGATGGAGCATCCGTATCTGTAGAAAATAATTCTCATGTAAGTGAGCTGAGGGCTTGCACAAATTTCGACCTGCAGGGGGAAAAACAGGCGGACTTTTAAGCTGGTTGCAATGGGCACTAGTAGTATGGAAACTCTTTGTTGGCTACTGAGGAAATGGACGGAGCACATATGGGAATGTTGTACGTGCAGTGATGTCAATTCTTGATCGATTGATTGATTGATTCAGTCCAGGATGGTTTTCATTTGTGTGTGTATGTGTCTGTGACTTTGGTGATGGTCTGTTGATAATGAAGTGTTTGGAACTAATGGATGAATTACTGCCAAACCTAGGCTTAATCCTGGCCAGTCCTTGTTTGTTTTACTGATTTGTAACTTGGGTACAATCTAATATCTCTCTTTGAAGATGTTAAGTTCTACACACCCTGCCAGTTTCTAGAGAAATCAGAGCTCTACATCAGTCCCTATGGAGATGATAACTTGGTACTGGGTTAGGAGAAGTCTATACATCAACTTTGCTGAGATAGATACAGGCCTTTTACTGGGCTCAGTCTTGCTTAGTGGAGTTGAGGATTGACATCATAGCACTCAAAACATTCCCATAAATGCTCTGTCCCCATCTTCAGCAGCCAACACAGAGTTCCAGTTTCGATGGTACCAGTAGCTGCCTGATTGTCTTTCTGTCTTGCCTTTTCACTGAGTTTTCAGTGTTGGCCAGCTGCATCAGTACGCCAGTGCACCGCTTTTCAGAGTTAAACTCATGTCTTCCAAAAAGATTCACCAAACAACCAGGATATCTTTCGTCTTCCTTTGATCCCAGTGTGGGTTCTGGGGCCCTATTATAAAGAAAACAAGAATAGACCCACTGCCTACCTAAAAGCGTGTTGTAAGAGTCAACTAACTGTGAGCTTCCTTTGAAGTCAGAGTGCATCTGCCATAGAGGCAAGGAACCAACAGTCTGCATGCAAATGATTCAGATCTGTCAAACAGATGCACACGCTACACTCATATTCTGAAACAAGACTGCACTCCAGAAGTGGACAAACAACCAGAACTTTCCCCCAGAGTTTACAGCCGGTGAACATGAAGAAGAAGTCTTCCTTTTTTTACTTGCAACTAAAGGTAAAGAACCCATTTTACACCAGTATTGCATCTAGTATAGGATACTAACTCATATTTTTATAGACCATTTGGCACTCATTTGACAATGTGATGAAATGATGCCAGCCGTTTATAACTTCCCAGGACTTTACCTGGTACTCGTGTTATGCAGGGTCAAAGTGGGAGCCTCTCCTCACCCCCCCCCCCCTCCCCCCCACCCAATAAAAAAATCATACTCACTACAGATTTAAACCCACAAATGTTGGGTCCGACAGAGGTAAGCTAACAGCTACAGCAGCATGACTTCCCTGGCTGTACGTCTTTAACTGTTTATTTCATTTTCAGCTGTTATTATTGTTTCTGATAATCACTGACAGGGTGATTAATATTTTCTTTGTTTTGTCATGTGCCATATCTTATGTTTAAATTATGATATGACAGATGTCATGTCTTCTGTTTCATTATGTAGTAGGAAAAAAACCACATTTGTATGTTTTATTGTTTGGTATTAAAAACTTTGTTTTTATTTTGTTATGTTTGGTGTTATAAGATTGTGGTTTTAAAAACATGATTCCTTAATTTTTAATTATGTTATAGATTGCACAATGTTTTAGCTTTTATTAGTTAATTGGTTAATTTAAGTTAAAGCTTCATTGTGGAGGCGTCACCCCATATTTGCTGTCCCAGTTGAGTTGAGTTGAGCTGAGTCAAGAGTTGACATCACAGCACTCGGTGCATTCCCATGTGTGCTCTGTCCTCATCCCCAGCAGCCAGCGCAGAGTTCCAATACTGATGGCACCGGTCACAATCTGGCCATATGTCCGTCCCGCCCTTTCTCTGAGCGCAGTGAGTCGGCCAGACCCTCTGGCCACACCCAGGTGCCCCACTCCCCACCCCCCAGGCCACAACAGTTCTGTTTCTCCACCAGTTCTGTCATCCGTTCCTAAAGAGCCCCAACCACATCTGCCCTGTCTTGCATCATATTACCACCCAGTGGTGCAGATCCAGCCAATCCGTCTGCCTGTCCACCACCCACTATGCCGGCATGGCCTGGAGGAAAGATCTAAAGTATGCTCACCACCCCACCCGTGACCACCCCAGTGAAGTCATGTGCCAGTGAAAATCACTGAAGCTCATTGCTACCCCTTGTAAAAAAAATTTAAAAGAGGCTGTAGTCT